TGGTGTTTCTTCTTCGGACTGGGTGATTCTAATCCAGCCTCCTCTACTGTAGACAGAGTCACCGATCTCTGACTGCACTTCAGAGATGTGGCAGGCAGCCCCACCAGTGAGTCTATTTGCTGATTTCTCCATAAGAAAGAAGCAGAAGTGGTGTGATCTTTGTATCTAGGGAAGTTCAAGAACCTCTGCTCATTAACAAGCCTGCTTCACGATGAGCTGTGTTCACAGGAGAAAGACTGTCCTTGAACACAACAGCAAGCAGGGGCCTGGGGTTCAGGCACTGCTGCTTAGAGTGCTGTGTAGAGGACTCCGCAGCTACCCAAGGATGTCAACTCTCCAATACCAGTAGTATTCGCTGTGGCTACCAAAAGGGGGTAGTGGCCATATGCTCTCCATGTCTCTCTCATCCTGAACCCCAATCTCAACACTGTCCTGAAACAACATAAGAAGCTGCCAGCAAGATGATACCCCAGACACTGCCACCAAGTCTTCTGTGGTCCCCTCACTAATACTTTCCAGTTGCTGAATAAAGCTTTAAAAAGGGCACGGGCACATTCAGATACACCAGATCCTCCTCCTTCCAGGCTCAGCAAACCATAGGATTGGTAGAATTTAAAGCATAATTACCTAAGAAAAATGCTATAGTCTCAGAAAAGGATGACAGGAACATACTAGGAGCCACTTCTCCTAGGACTCTGCCCAGCTGCTGATCCAGGGTTTCCCCTTGAAGACGTTCATCTCTCTTTTAAAAAAAGAAAAACACACAATGTTAAAATTTCTCAATAACAATTCCACCTCTTTGCTGCCCTATGTTAACTCAAGAGCAAAGAAAAATAATGAGTGCATGATCAGCTGTACCTGTACCTTCCGGCATGTAAGGGAGATCCATAAGATCTGACATTAATTTGTTCCAAGTGTTTCTGAACCACTGAACTAGATACCAGGTGAGAAAATCCAGCCAAGTCTGGGTCATTTTATTAAGAAGATACATGGAACAGGCTGCAGGTGGCTGGACCATTAAATGACACTTGCACCTGCCACAGAGCCTCACTCAGGTAGGGTCCATAGACAACTGAGAGCACTTTCTACCATGGCGGGTTGTGTGTTGACCCTCAGCCTTTTTAGTATCACTTTTGTTTATTTTTTAAGATAGAGTCTCTGTTGCTCTGGGTAGAGTGCTGTGACATCGTAGTTCACAGCAACCTCCAACTCTTGGGTTTAAGTGATCCTCCTGCCTCAGCCTCACAAGTAGCTGGGACTACAGGTGTCTACCACAACACTTGGCTAGCTTTTCTATTTTTAGTACAGATAGGGGGTCTCACTCTTGCTTAGGTTGGTCTCAAACTTGTGGGCTCAAGCAATTCACCTGCCTCAGCCTCCCAAAGTGCTGAGATCACAGGCATGAGCCACCACACCTGGCCTTTAGTGGCACTTTTGAACAAATCTACCATTTTTCTAGACTCTGCTGAAAATCATTTTTAATAGCAGTCATACTGTTAAATATTTTCCAAAAGTGTGTTTGTCTTATTGCACACACATGAAACAAGATACTATTTAAAACAAAATTATCTATTCCACCAACCAAAGAGAAGAGGTGAAATTTTTGGTCTCTAAATGTCCATAACAAGTTGGGAAGCCCAATGAGCCATAAGGGGAAAGGAAATGAAGCCCCTCAGTGGCCTTGCTCACAAATGCGGCACTGAAGAGCCATTCATGGACCCTGGTACTTCGATAGATGCCAGGCCCCACAAGACTACAAAAATGTACCTGATAGGTCTGCACCAGAATGAAGATGTTGTCCACCCCAACAGCCAGCACCAGGAACGGGATGACTTCAATCACAATGAGGGTCAGGGGGATCCCAATATAGCTGAAGATGCCTAACGAGCATGTCACCGAGCTCAACACGATCAGGATCCCTGCAATGCCTAGGGAGACCTTCGAATCCACCTGAGGGATGTGCAAAGACACAAGTCACTGGTTAGCGGGTTTGCTGTGCTATTTCTTCTTTACATGGGTGGTTCTAATCTAGAGTGAAAAGTACAATTTTCAGTTTGAGAGAGGCTCTGAAAAAATTTCTAGGGCCTCCCTACAAATATATTTTTGTTGGAGTTTGGCCGGCTGGGTTTGAACCTGCAACCCTTGGTATATAGGGCTGGTGCCCTACTCACTGAGCTACAGGCACTGCCCTCCTAGGAATATATTTTATGAGCTGGCATTGTTAGGTGATGGAATGGACAAATTAGAAAAAACTGGATTATATGAAACATACTTTAAGATAAACCAAAAAATTGAAACTGAAAACAACAGATACCAGAAACAGTAATGTCACATACAACTAAAATGAAGGGGAATTTAAGGCAGTTTTGAAAATAGTGAATATAGAATATTTTGAAAATAGTGAATCAAAAGTAAATACAGGCAAAAATATGACAGTATACTGTGCACTGCCATTTCACACACACACATACACACACACACACAGAGCCTGCTTACCAGAAGCCTGTGACAGCTTTTGATATGCCCCAAGGCAAGGGAAATATATACAAACATTACAGCATAACTAATTACAATGGTGAAGAGATCACTGTTGCTTTCACGATTTATTTCATCTTCAATACTTCGTTCAGCAGAGAAAGAAATGGTCAAATTTGGATTCTTGTAGTTTTTTACAAAATCAATAAACCTGAAAAGTAAGCAAAATTTTATATTTTTAGTTAAAACTTAGTGACAGCTAGGTAAGAGACTTATTTGCAACCTTTAGGACATAAAGGTCTTGTTGTTTCCTCAACCCTCCATTAGATCCTTCTGTACTGGAGACTAGAAGGTGAGACACTTTCCAATTATAGCCCAAGTTCTATCTAGACGTGCTGTATTTTCTACCATTTAAAATAAGTTTAGAACAAATTTACAATTGGTTCATGTTTTCCCTATTCATTTTTTACTAAAATAATTTTTTTTGAGACAGAGTCTTGCTCAGTCACACTGGGTAAAGTGCTGTGGTATCATAGCTCACAGCAACCACAAACTTTTGGGTTCAAAGGATCCTCCTACCTCAGCCTCACAAGTAGCTGGGACTACATAAGTGGGTTCCACAACACCAGGCCATTTTTTAAGAGGCAAGTCTCACTCTTGCTCAGGCTGGTCTCAAACTCCTGAGCTCAAGTAATCTACCTGCCTCGGCCTCCCAGAAAACTAGGATTACAGGTATGAGCCACCACACCCAGCCACTAAAAATATTTCTAAATGAGGTGTATTATATAAAGATACACACTCATGGAACAAAATTTAAAAAGCTGACCTATAGATTCAACACAACACTTTTCAGAATCCCAGCTGGTTTCTCAGTAGAAACTGATAAACTAATTCTAAAATTCACATGGAACTGCAAGGGGTCCAGAAGAGCCTAAGTTTCTTTTTCAAGATAACAAAATAGGAGAACTCACACTTCCTAAATTCAAAACGAATTACAAAACAAGAGTAATCAAGACTGACACACTCTTGTGGTACTGGCACAAAGACATACAGGGATCGGTTCGGCGCCTGTGGCTCAAGTGGCTAAGGTGACAGCCACATACACCTAAGGTGGTGGGTTTGAATCCAGCCCAGCCCGCCAAAACAACAATGATGGCTGCAACCAAAAAAAATAGCCAGGCACCTGTGGTCCCAGCTACTTGGGAGGCTGAGGCAGGAGACTTGCTTGAGCCCAGGAGTTGGAGGTTGCTGTGAGCTATGATGCCATGGCACTCTACCCAGGGGGATAGCTTGAGGCTCTGTCTCAAAAAAAAAAAAAGACATATAGAGATCAAGGGAACAGAACGGAGTCTAGAAACACACCATGTGTCTGTGGTCAACTAATATTCAATGAGGATGACAAGATCCTTAATAATCTCTTTGACAAATGATCTGGGACAAATGGAGAGTTACATGCGAAAGAAATGAAGCTGGACCCTTACCTCATACCACACAAAAATTAACTCAAGGGGATCAAAGACCTAAACATAAGAGCTAAAACTCTCAGAAGAAATCTCAGGCCCAAATTTCCACATCCTTGGATTAGGGAATGGTTTCTTAGATATGACACCAAAAGTATGAGCAACAAAATAAAAGAAAAGGTAAAATAAGGTAAGTGACTTGTGTCTAGAATATATAAAACATAAATAACCCAGTTAAAAATTGTGCATAGGCTATAATTACATACTTCTCCAAGGAAGACACACTAATGGACAAAAAGTATATGAAAATGCTCAAAAATGTCATCAGGAAAATGCAAATCAAAACTACAAGGAGATCCTACTTCCTACCCATGAGGATGGCTAGAATCATGAAGGCAGATAACAATGTTGTCAAGGATGTGGAGAAACTGAAACCTTCACACGTTGTTGTTGGTGGTTATGGAAAGTGCTATCATCCTTTATTTTTACACCTTTACTTTTTTCAACCATAAGCTATGGCCACTTTGGAAAGTAGTCTGGCCATTCTTCAGTGAAAGGCAGCATCACTGTAAGACTTAGCAATTCTACTCCTAGCTAGAACCCATGAGAAACGAAAATTTATATCCACACAAAAACTCATGTACAAATGTTTATAGCAGCATTACTCATAAGAGCCAAAAGATGAAAATGACTCAAATGTGCATCACCTAATGAATGGATAAACAAAATAGGACATATGCAGTCAATGGAGTATTGGACTATAAAAGGGAAGTACTGACCCGCCACCATACTGAGGAGCCTTGGTAAGGCTAAGTGAAAGAAGCAAAACGCCCCATGATCCCATGCAATAAAAGGTTGTATGTGATCCGTGCATATAAAAGGCCACATGTGATCCTGTGCATATAAAGACCACATGTGATCTGTGCATATAAAAGGCCACATGTGATCCTGTGCATATAAAGACCACATGTGATCCGTGCATATAAAGGCCACATGTGATCCTGTGCATATAAAGACCATGTGATCCATACATATAAAAGGCCACATGTGATCCCGTGCATATAAAGGCCACATGTGATCCCGTGCATATAAAGGCCACATGTGATCCCGTACAGATAAAGACCACATGTGATGCCGTGCATATAAAGGCCCATGTAATCCATGCATATGAAAGGCCGCATGTGATCCTGTGCATATAAAGACCATGTGATCCCATGCATATAAAAGGCCACATGTAATCCTGTGCATAT